CCCTTCTTTGTCCTCAACAGCGACGTGATCTGCGAGTTCCCCTTCGCGGCGCTGGCCCATTTCCACCGGCAGCACGGCGGTGAGGGCTCGCTGGTGGTGACCCGCGTGGAGGAGCCAGCCAAGTACGGCGTGGTGGTGAGCGAGGCTGACACCGGCCGCATCTGCCGCTTCGTGGAGAAGCCGCGTGTCTTCGTGTCCAACAAGATCAATGCCGGGCTCTACATCTTCAACCCCGGCATCCTGCAACGCATCCAGGTACTGGCCGGGGGGCTGGGCTGGGCCGGGCTTGGGGGCTGGGCCCCCTGCTTCAGCCCCGTGCCCCATCTCCGCAGCTGCGCCCCACCTCCATCGAGAAGGAGATCTTCCCGGCCATGGCGCAGGAGGGGCAGCTCTACGCCATGGAGCTGCAGGGTAAGGCCCTGCCCACGGTGCAGGCAGCATGGCGGGGGGGGAGTCTTGCCTGCACTGCCACCCCCGTGCTGGGGGCTGTCACCGCGGCTCTGTCCCCGCAGGCTTCTGGATGGACATCGGGCAGCCGAAGGACTTCCTTACGGGCATGTGCATGTACCTCCAGGCGCTGCGGGCTCAGCACCCCGAGAAGCTGCACTCAGGGCCCGGTGTCGTAGGGAACGTGCTGGTGGTAAGTGCCAGCCCCCAGCACGCCGGCCCCAGGCACACGTCACGGGCTCTACACGTCCTCCCACTGCTGTCCTCGCTGCTGTCCTCGAGCTGTGCCCTCCTGTCCCTGCACTGGCCGAGCAGCACGGGCCGTGCCGAGAGCTCTGGCTGCCCTCCCGGCCCCAGCGCAGCCCCTCTTCCTTCCAGGACCCCAGCGCCAAGATTGGGGCAAACTGCGTCATTGGCCCCAACGTGACAATTGGGGCCGGTGTGGTGGTGGAGGACGGGGTGCGCATCAAACGCTGCACTGTGCTGAAGGGGGCCCGCATCCGCTCCCACTCCTGGCTGGAGTCCTGCATCGTGGGCTGGAGCTGCTCCGTGGGGCAGTGGGTGAGGATGTGGGTGCCTCTGCGGGGCATCAGGGCTCAGCTCTTGCTCTCCCGCCTCCTCGGGCTGTGGCCAGAGGGATGCGCCGGTGCCTGCAGGCAGGAGCGTGGCACTGAGCCCCGAGCTGGGGCATGTGCTGACAGGGCCTCTCTGGGGCAGGTGCGCATGGAGAACGTGACAGTGCTGGGCGAGGATGTCATCGTCAACGACGAGCTCTACCTCAACGGGGCCAACGTGCTGCCACACAAGTCCATCGCCGAGTCTGTGCCAGAGCCACGCATCATCATGTAGCAGCCCCTGGTGGGCCCCGCACTCCCGGCTCTCTTGGATTAAATATTTATATTTACATCCAGTGCTGAGTGCCATCTGAGCGTGGCCCGAGCACCGGGTCACTCACCAGGGCTGGCCTGGCTTCCCCTCCCCATGTCTCAGGGCACCACATAAGGAAGAATAATTTAATGCTGCATTTCATGAAGTCAGCCCCCAGCCAGAGGCAAGTTAACAGCCCGAACGCCCAGCCCGGCCCCCCCTGCCCCGGCCCCAGGGCTGCCGTGGAGCCAAGGCCTCGGGCTCCCCTCCCTGAGAACAGCCCGTGGGGCAGAGGCTGCCGCGGCCCAGGCGCTGGGCGAGGGGGTTGCTGGCCCCGAAGCCTGGCATCGGGCCTCTCCCTCCCTGCAGCCCCCCTGCCCTGCACTGGGTCCTGGCCCTGCAGACAAGGGCCCCGTGGCCCCAGGCAGAGTGGTGGGGGGGCCACCCCCCTCAGCTGGGGTAGCCCGTGGCGTGGGGCTGGACGCTACGAGCTGGCTGGCTTGGTGAAGTCGTCCACCCCCGTGATGGTGGCCTTGCAGAAGAAGCAGTCCTTGTTGTTCATCAGGTGCTGGTTGATGCAGGCTCTGGGACAGAGGAAAGAGCATGAGCTCCCCCTACATGGCACTGGGGGGGGGGGCAGGGGCAGGCAGTCGCCCCGTTGGGGGTTGCACAGGCGAGCTACTCACTTGCATGACTTGTGGGAGCAGGGTCTGAAGATGGCCGAGATGGGGTGTGCATAGCAGATAGGGCACAGGTCCTCCTCGCTGGTGGGCTGTGAGGGCACCGAGCTGTTAGCGCTGGCAGTGATGGCCCCATGTCCCAGGGCAGCTATGCCGGCAGCTGGGGCTGCTGCCAAGCGTGGGGACAGGGCTGGGGGCACTCACCAGCGTGGTGGCAGCCGCCTGCTTGGACTCCTCGCTCAAGTGGCTCAGCATCTTGTCCACCTTCACCAGCTCCTCAGCACTGATGTATTCCGTGTCTGTGGGGACAAAGCGGGTGTGCGTGGGGTGAATGTGGCCCTTGTGGACCAGCCAGGACAGGGACCCTGGTGCCAGGGACAGGGATCCCCATGCTGAGGGCAGCAAGCCTGGTGTTGGGCACCACAAAGAGACAAAAACTGCTGCCAAAAGCAGGCACTGGGCATGGCCCCATCCCAGGTGCTACTGCTGGGGGACAGTGGAAACCATGGATGCCTGTCCCCAGGGCTGAGGGGGGGGCTGGGACATGTCACAGGGGACACAGACACCTGCATCCCTGTCCCCCTCATCACAGCCATGGCTGAGTGATGAGCACAGCCCAGCTCCCAGCACGGTGCCAACACTTACAGGTGTGCAGGGAGAAATGGCGCTTGTCCGTGGCCGGGGCAGCAGCCGCCAGGGCCGAGGGCTCAGCGTGGCCCAGCAGGTACTGGATGGAGCGCAGCTGGAAGCAGGGGTCCGCCAGCAGCACCGCCGTCGCACGCTTGGCCCTGCAAGGGGACACAGTCAGGCCTTTGCCCTAGGTACAAGCCACCCTGTGGTCACAAGGCCACCCAGCTGCATCCCCAGCCAGTGACCTCCCCTCCCCAACGCCTGGCAGCATGGGGAAATGTGCTCGAATGCAGCTGAAGGGCAGCAGCCTTCCTCCTCCTCCTCTGCCAGCCCCCTCAGCGGCTCGGAGGATCGATATGGTGCATTAGCACTTGCTGAGGCTGCAGCCCTCACGCACCGGTGCCCAGCTGAGCCCGGCGAGCTGCAGGGCGGCCAAGGCAGCCCCCACCATCCTGTCTCCCAGCACCACAAGGGTAAAATGTGAAAGACCATGCAGCATCCTCCTGCTAGGGGCTGCAGCCTCCCGCCCTGCACCAAGGGGACGGCTCAAGGTGCCCCCACGGCAGGCGGGAGGGAGCAGGCATGACTCTCCCTGCCTTCAAGCGTGAGCAGGGACAGGCAGGACAGATGAAGGGCACCTCAAGCATCTCCATCAGGCACCAGGTCTGTGGCCTGTTCGTGGCCCTTGGCAAGGAGCAGCACTGGCTCTGTGGCCCCGGAGGCAGGCTGCGGGGAGCCCAGCAGTGGAGGCTGGGCCTGGGCTGGGGCACAGTGAGTTAACAGCCCCTTGAGCGCAGCAGCCGCAGCCGCCAAATTAGCTTTTTGCTGCCCTAATGGAAACCAATTCCCCATCCCCGCTTTCCACTTCCCACTAACGCGTCTGGGCTCTGGGCAATGACATTCCTGTGCGTCCTTCACCCCGCAGCTGCCCCCTCCTCACCGGCAGCCTGCGGCACCCCTTCTGCCCTGGGGACCCTACTGGGCTCACCCCATTGCCGGGGGGTTGGGGGGAGGTCCCTGACAGTTCATGCGGTGTGAGGGGGTGAGGATGAGAGCGGCGGGAAGGGCTGGGACCGGGTGCTGAGCCGAGAGGGGGGTGGGAGAAGATGATGACGACGGCCGTCCCGCTCCCAGCCTGGGTGCAGGATGGGCCGCCAAGGGCTCGCAGAGGTGCCGACGGGGCGGGTTTATTCCAGCGTCCTCCCGGAGGCTGGGCAAGGAGCAGCGGCCGCCCCGCAGGGCTGAGGTTGCGGTGCTTAGATGTGACATGTGCTCTCCAGCATGGGCTCGGCACCACCTCAGCAGGCACAGGCAATGCTTGGGATGGTGCCTTCAGCAGGTTTGGACATGGGCCCACTCAGCTGGGTCTCTTCTCTTTCCCAGACTTTCCCAGGGCAAATTCAAACCATCCTTCCCATGGGGTCCTTGTCTGGGTGCAAAGCCAGGGGATGGCATCACCTCAGCTCCATCCTCAAGGGGCAGGGTGCCACTCACCTATCAGTGTGACATCGAAGCACCTCATCATACCCGGGCAGCACCTCAGCATGGCCGGCTCGGCATCCTGGGCTCATCAGGAGCGTTGTGCTAACGCGAGGTGACAGGGCCAGCAGCGGTGGGTGCGCGGGGAGCAAGGGTGCAGGCCAGCGGGCTGCAGAGCAGAGCTATTGCTCTGCATCCCGTTGCCTTCACCAGCCACTGATCAGCAGCTGCAGGGCACGTGGCAGGGGGGCACGTATCACATGAAGCCGTGCGCAAGGTTGGTGTTAGGAGGGGTGCTGGGAGGAGGCGATTGTCTCGGGATAGCAGGTCTCCCAAACACTCTCTCCCTTCTTGGATGGGGGGGGG